CCTGAATAACATTTACAATATAAACCAAATTTGTAGGCTATTGACAGCAGTTTTTCTCAGCAAAGTTGTGAGATAATTTTAAATGTGAGGGGGAGTTTCTTTAGGTTTTGATGTGTTAATTTGCAGAACAGAGTGCCACCTAGTGAAATGCAAGTTGAACATGGAAAGTTTCAACAGATTCCTCATTCAAATAAGCATCAAAGACATTTGGAAACTTGGCTCATTCAAGAAGTTGTGCAACTCACAGCAGTTTTGAGAGTATTTTATTCTGCAAAGTAGGAACAGAAGATGAATGATGCAAATCCCACTTCAGATGTCAACATTTTTTATTGTATTCACTCACAGGATGTGGGCATCACTGGCTAGGCCAGCATTTACTGTCCATCACTAAGGGCAGCTGAGAGTCAACCGCATTGTTGTGGGTCTGGAGTTACATATAGATCAGACCAGATAAGAATGTTAGTCCCTAAAGAACATTAGTAAATCAGATGGGTCTTTCTGGCCATTGACAATGTTTCATGATCATCATTTGTCTCTTAACTCCAGATTTTTACTTAAGTCAAATTCCATCGTTTGCCATTGTGGGATTCAAACCCAGGACCCAGAACATTACCTGGGTCTCTGGATTACTAGTCTAGTGATAATACCACTAGACCATCACCTCCCCATTGTACATGTGTAACAGTCTGATCTGATGCCTATTCTATTCAGTGATTTATTTTTATTCCTAAGTCTCAGGATAATACTAAACATCTGCACTATATTTGCTAGACGTCACTTACTTCTTTTAACAATCTCATTTTGATCCAGGTACATTAATGCAGGAATATTAATTTTACATAAAAGTGATTCCCTCCAAGGTCCCATCATTCACTCCCTTTATTACTTTTTTGCTCTGGGTTAAAGGTTACCTTCAGAAATTTATCCAAAACATTATATAAGCATAGTGCACTTTCTATTCTAATGAATGTGGGACATTTCAGCACCTCTTCATGTGTTTCTCTTACAAAAGCCCTTTCTCTTTTTCTGAGAGCTGTGTCTCCGCTGTTCTCTCAGTTACTGATTTCTATTACTCTCCTTTTTCTCTTATGGAGTCCTTGTCACACTTCATTTCCTTTCTGTTTCTAACTCTCTCTGACTGTTCCAGCTACCACCAATTCTGCCCTTCTATCAGGTAACAAGTGAGTGAATGTAGTTTTATTGCTGTTCATGGCACACCATTCAGTAATTGTCTGTGAAAAAAAAATCTTTGTCACTTGCAAACTCAACAGTTTCAATTTGTCTCTGGTTGGTATTCCACATTCTACCCTCCATAAACTTGGGGTTTTCACTCACATCAGATCTGATCCCCATTCACCCTGTACTTGACCGCATTGGCTCCCAGTCAAGGAACATCTTGTTTGAAAATTCTCATTCTGTTTTCAAATTTCTCCATAGCCTCATTTCTCCGCATTTCAGTGATCTCCTCCAATCCATAACCATCTGATACATCTGTGGTCCTCTAATTCTGGCATTTGTGCATCTCCAATGATAATTGTTGATTGTTAAATGTTTCCATTGTTTGCCTAGATCCAAAGTTCTGGAATTTTCTCTGTATACCTCTTCACTCCACTATCTCACTCATACTGACATATGAGCTAGGATCAGAAGTAGCCCTTTCAGCCTGCTAAGCCCTTTCTGCCTCCTCTGATAGCCCCTCAAACTTAATGGAAAGCTTGCTGAAGTGTCTTTTAACGTGGGAAGGCGATTACACTGGCAGTCACAATACTGGCCAACCAGGAAATTCTCCCACTTCTACTGCCCACCATTGTCACATTGAAAGGTTGATAATCCATCTGTTTGGCTATGTCATGAATGAATCTTCATGGCCTTCAAGTCCTGGAATGGGACTCAAACCTGAAGATTCTGGCTCAGAGGTAGTGAGGATACTCACAATGTCATAAGACCTCCATATGGAACTCAGCAGGAAACCAGATTAGCGTCTCCATGGTGTGACAACAGTCTGAAACTATTCAAACATTTATTGCTACTGAATACTTAGATATGCTGTTATTCCTCCCAACAATATACTTTACATCACTAATTTTATTTTCTCCTATTTGGTTCTAAAAACCCAATATAAATGAAATAGAAAATTAATTAGTTTTTATTGGCCAAATGCATAAAACACAAGATCCTCTCCAAAAGATGCACGCTTCGGGTTCTTTAATAAATGAAAATGAGATTAATATTTACTCACTAAGAGCCAAAAGCATTTAGTAAAGAGTTGAGTTGCAAAATGGAAATAACATGCTTTGTTATTGAACAAGCAATTACATTTCCCTTTGTTTCAATTTTCCATTCTTTAGTTTCCAATCCTTTGAACCCATCAACATCAATAAATCTACTCAGGCTTCCATTCAACAGTTTTGATGGATTGTTAAGTTCATACTTGAAATTTGTAGGATAGAACATAAATATTGAAATATGTGCAACTGTTTAACAGCAAAATCTCTAATTCACTAGAATTACAAAAGTTCAAATTGACATGAGTGCCCACAGCAAGGTTCCAGAAAAAAATAAATAATTTGAAAACATTGAAATTGAAAGCTTATTGCACCTATGCTTATTCCTACCAATTTTGCTCATTAGTTTCTTTTCCTGGTGTTATTTTTGACTAAATCTACAATTAGAAGATAGGGATTTTAAAAATTATTATATTCAGGGACTGTGGGCTTTTCTGGCTCAGCCGGCATTAAAACTTTGAGAAAATGGTGATGAGCTGCCTTCTTGAACCTCTGCAGTCCATCTGGTGTAGAGGACCCCCGGTCCTGTCAGGGAGGGAGTTTTAGGGTTTTTCACCCAGTGACACTGAAGGAAGAAAAATATATTTCCAAGTCAGGATGGTGATCGGCTAGGAGAGGAACTTGCAGATTGTAGTGTATGTATATATCTATTGACTTTGTCCTCCTAGTTGGAAGTGGTTTGGAAGTTGCTGTCGAAGGATCTTTGGTGAATTTCTGCAGCACATCTTGTAGATGGCATACTTTGTTGCTGTTGAGCATTGGTGGTAGAAGGAGTGAATGCTTGAAATTGTGTGCCAATTAATTGGACTGCTTTGTTCTGAATGGTGTCAAGCTTCTTGAGTGTTGTTGGAACTGCACTCATCCAGGCAAATGAGGAATATTCCATTGCACACCTGACTTGTACCTTGTAGATGGTGGACAGACGCTGGGGAGTTAGGAAATGAATTACTTGCTGCAGTATTCCTAGCCTTTGACCTGCCATTGTTTTTGTGTGGCTATTCTCTCCAGCGTGTTGATTGTGGGGTATTCGATGATGATAATGCCATTCAATGTCACGGGGCAATAGTTAGATTCTTTCTTGATGGAAATGGTCATTGCCTGGTCTGATGTGACACAAGTGCTACACACCACTTGTCAGTCCAAGCCAGGATTTGTCCAGCTCTTGCTGCATTTGGACAAGGACTGCTTCAGTATCTTAGGAGTTGCAAATGTTGCTGATCAATGTGCAATTGTCAGTGAATCTCTCTACCTCTGACTTTATAGTGGAAGGAAGATCATTGATGAAGTAGCAGAAGATGATTGAGCCTAAGGCTTTACCTTAACATCTAGACATCCTTGTGGTGTGGTGATAATGTCCCTACCTCTGAGACAGGTGGCCTTGGTTCAAGTCCCACTAGCTCCACAGATAGGTAATACATTTCCAAACAGATTAGAAAATTGATTACAAAATACGTGCCTGTGGAACTCCTTCTGATATGTCCTGGAGCTGAGATGACTAACATCCAAAACCGTTTTCCTTAATGTCAGGATTCATAATATCTGTGCAAGGCCTCCAGCCAGTGGAGCTTACCCCTGATGCCCGATGACTCTAGTTTGGCTCGAGCTCCTTGAATTAACACTTGGTCAAATGTAGCTTTGATACCAAAGACGGACACCTTCAAGTAAGCCTAAGGCATACTTCTTGAACTACACAGTCAGTTGAAATGCAACAGCTATCTTCAAGAAATTCAGCAACATTTGAAGGCTGATTCTGGGGCCTTGAGTAATCAAAATATCATGAACCCTTCTAAATTTTGAAAGTGCATGAATGGTTTGGATGCATGTGGACTTGAATTAGGAAGAACAGCAACTCTCACACACTCCTGTTTTCTACCAAGTGCCCATTATGTTTCTCTTGACTGTTACTAGGATTGACAAAATCTTGCTACAGTTCAGGTAATGAGCTGCCTGACGCCAGGAAGCAGTGAATGATTTAGACACAGGGATGAGACAGAAGAGGGAACAAATATGTGGAAGATGCATATGTTTAAAAACAATCTATTTCTGGTATAAATGATGGTGAATTTTATTGCATAGCTGCCTTGAAGGTTGGTTTGAATTTTTACCTTCACTGAACAGCTTTTCTGGCAATTATCTGGATATCAGAAGATTCACGGCATCTGCTTGACGCTTTTGGCAACTGCTGGTCTCCAGAGTGGAGATATTTTCATAATCAACCTATTCAGGGATGTTATTACATGACTGGAGCCTCCTAGCTCAAAGGACTTGACCACTGTGCCACACAAGCGTCCCAGGGGGACTGGAGTCTGCGGTCAACAGTTTAAAGTATTAACAAACACTAAAATCAGTAAAGAATCACTCGAAAGGATGGTGTTCCCCATTTAAAAGAGGCTTAAACAATAAACTACAAATTATAAATAATACCAAAGGAAAGTTACATAATCCAAGGCATGTAAGTTATTGTAAATTGTAGTTGAAACTGCAAGATAAGATTGCACGAAAGTTAATGAATTGCAAGTGACTGGCGATTAGAAAGTCTAGCACAGTGGGAGATGAATACCGGGTTCGTTTTACAGAATTTTAAAGTGTGTGTAACATCTATAAAGTATAATACAACCTGTTGCTGAGTTTGATTTGCTCCTTATCCGAGTACATGCCTGCGCTGTGAGGCCCCTCGACATCTGATCAATTTCATTGGTTCTGATTCAACATTGTTACACGCCCAGACGCATTCTATTGGCGGAGATCACCGTTGCCCTGGTTACTGTGGAAACCAGGGCATGTCGTTGGTAGCATACACACGGCTGAGCAGTATCTTAAAGCGGTAATTTATATGTTCGTCAGTCTTTAAAAAAAAGTTTTTTAAAGGAGAGGAATTAAACAGCTGCAGGTGGAGGGTCTTCCGAAACCGAATCGAGTTCTCATTGAAGTTTTCCAGACTGACCTGTGGAGTATTTCCAGCATTTTCTCATATTTTTACCCTCCTCCCCCCAGTTATTTGTCAACTTTTTTATTTTAAATTAGTGAATTGAGAGAAGTGCATGTCGTTGGTTAAATAAAACTATGAGAAAAGGTTTATTTTATGCAGGGTTTCATGGACCATTTCACAGAGCAGTTGGTGCAACAAGCTAAAATTATCGTCATGGGTGTTCTGGAGAGTGCCAAGGGACAGCTTCAAGATTTGCAGATTCAAGAAAGTAGGGAAGAAATTGGTAAGTCGATATAAATGATCCCATTTTGGACACTGTATTTTGGCGCTGTATTCTACTTCCCAGTTTCTATTTACGAATCATGTTTTCACGCGCCCTTGTTTTTATATAACTAAACCGATGCAACATGAACTTTCCCAGTGACAATTCTTGCGCACGATTTGCTGGTGCTCCCATCACCAGTCTATCACATTTCTTTTCCAGATTCTAAAGAATCATATTGGATTTGAAAGCTTAATGCTGTTTCTCTGTCCGCAAAGCCTATCAGAGCTGCTGAGTTTCTCCAGCATTTTCTCGTTTTATTTCAGATTTCCAGCATCAACAAAATTTGTTTTTCTCCTTAATCCCCCAAAACTCTCTTCAAATGTCACACCTACTTACACCTCTCCCCTCTCAGGTTCGCTGACCCCCTAATTTCCTACTCAACTCTTCAGCATTCCTCGATTTTCCTGCTCTCTAGTCATTGTTTCAGGCTAGATTTCCCATCTTCCCTATGGCACCCTTCAAAGGACTCATTAAGGCACTTGGCACTGGTTCATTATGAGCAGCAGCCCTAATTGCCCCATCTCTCTCAATCATCAACCTCTCATCCCGTACAGTCACTGGGGATTCACTTTGCCAAACTTTTTCTCATCCAGTTCATATTCCCTATCATCCTCACTGTTCACCTTATAGATTTAGCCAGAGAATCACCTCTCAAAACCCTTCATTTGTGAACTTTTCCCTTCCCATTCGTTAACTTAATGGGATGGGTTCATCAACATCACTGTCCTGATAGAAACCTGATATAATACCTTCCCCCTTAATGAGCCTTCCTTGTCTGACTTTACCTTTCAGCACTTAACCCATCATTACTGTCATAATGGCAGTTTGACATATGTCTGTCGATTACAATTTGTCCGTTGAAACATTGATTATTCATTCTTGATTAAGGACTCAGTGGTTATCAGAGGTAGATGGTATTATGGTGATGAGGCCACAATCAGTGCAACCATAATCTCATTGGATAGCAGAGTTGGTTCGGCCAGCCTAATTTATAGGTTTGTGATACTCCTCTAGCACTTCCTCCTGCTTTGAGAATCTCACTTTGTTTCATCCTCACAGCTTGCTTTCAAAATCACCATTCTGTACTTCTCTCCTAAGCATGAAAAATGTTTTATTATGAGATTACTGCTTTCTCTTCCAACCTCTGCATCAAATGAATTCTCATCCTTGGAGATTTCAACCTTCATCTCAACTCATCATGTTGTCTTTCCTCTGAGTTCACTGGCTTCTTCTCTGAATCATTCCCTCTATGTAAGCTTTCCAGAAGGTATTCACAGCCATAGTCATAACCTTGTCACTTCATGTGGTCTTGTTAGTTCTGAGGTAACAATGACATATGAGATCTCTGGTTCCTTGCCTCATTCTTCACAAACTCCCCCTTTTTCCATTCCCTAACCCTATCTCCATCTGTATTTCATCCACTTACAAATCACTTTCGAAATCCTGACTGTCCGCTCTGTGGCCCAACTTTACCTACAACATTTCTGCTGCGCTGACGGACTGCACCCTCACTCCCATCTTTTATACATTAGTCTCCAGTAAAAACATTAATCTCTCTTACCCAGGCCTTTTCCCTAGTACAGCCCTCATCTCTGCACTCTTAAGTCACAAGGGATGCAGACTTGGAAGGGTTTAGTTGGCAACTGGTTGCATTATCCTCCACCAGATCTGGCTGGACCACATAAAATGCTATTAGTTTCTATTCTCATTTGCGAAAACTGCTGCTATTTCAGGATCATCATAGAATGCAAAGATAATCTCTGGTTTGTCTTTGCAAACCATCTTCTTAAATGCCAACAAGGGTGAGGACAGCCAATGGACGACTTTGTCACTAAGATCAAGACCATCCAATATTTTTGCCTCTGCTGCATCCCATCCTTCCATTAATGCAGCTGGCTACAGCATTGAATGTCTGATTAGCCCTTCCACCACTGAAATCCCATCTAAACCTGTGATAATAGTTATATTTTAGGACAGGGCTTCAATATTACTGAAAAATAAAGAAGACACATTTAGTCAAAACTTTTCAGACAAACATTTACACTGTAGGAGAGGTTAATGTTAATTGGTTGGCAAGATGATTGTGATTGGTAGAGTTGTCACCAATTAATAACAAGCTTCAACAAAATGTGATTTTTTTTTAAAGAAATATTCAGTGTTTTTTTTTATTTCAAAGCTCCACTGTTAGACCTTCCATTTGTGACCTTTCAACACATCAAAATTATACTGCACTTTTCCAATTAGCTCAGCTATCACAGTGTCCTTTAAACTAAATAGTGGAACAGGGGTCAAATGTGGAACATTTTAATATATATCAAAGTATAGAGATAAGGTAGAGAGGAAAATAGTAACATGGGTAATGGTCAGAAAATGGCAGGAAGGGTAGAGAGAAAAATAAATCCTAGGAATATATGAGCGATCAATAATAATTGTTTCAAAGATAACAGATAAAAAAAAATCCTTAACTATGGCTTAAGTGTAATAATTAGGTATGACTTTTGTTAAGGTGATCAGGATGTGGAATTGAAACAAAAGCAGAAATTGCTGAAGAAGAAAACAAAATGCTAACTCTGCTTTCTCTCCACAGATGCTGCTATACCTGCTGAATTTTCTCCAGCAATTTCTGTTTTTGTTTCAGATCTTCAGCATCACAGTTCTTTGTTTTATTTTAGAATATAGAATCAGTTTGGTTGGAGATGAGGAATAGTAGGGGAAAGACATCACTGCTTGGAGTGATATACAGACTCCCTAACATTAACCACAATGTCGGGCAAAGCATACAAGCAGAAATATTGGATGCATATGATAAAGAGAATGTAATAATCATGCATAACTTCGATTTCATAGGGCAACACATTTTGGAATTGACCAGAGAGTAAGTTATGTTGGATGTATTCGATGTGGTAACGTGTAATGTGACAGTGTTAATTAATGACCTCAGGGTTAAGGCACTGCTAGGAGCAGCGACCACAATATGATTGAATTTTGCATCCAGTGTTGTCTTGTGAGGGTAGTTTGTACAGGCTGGGCTTGTTTCCACCGAAGTTCAGAAGAGTGACGGGTGGCTTGATTGAAGTGTAGATGATCCCAAATGCTTTTGACAAAGTGAAAGTGGAAAGGATGTTTCTTCTTGTGGGTCAATCCAGAACTAGGGGGTACTGTTTTAAGATTAGGTGAAAATCAGGGCAGAGATGAGTGTTTTTATGTCTGTGAGAGGGTTGGGAAACTTTGGAATTCTATGCCTCAGTAGGTAGGGTCCTGGTATATGCTTATATAGATAGATAGATCCTTGTTGCGCAGAGGGTTAATGGGAATGTGGAATTTGAAACACAAACTCATTTGCCATGAACTTATTAAATGGCAGAGCAGCCTGAAGAGACCGAAATGCTACAAGGGCTATTCTGTACAATCATGACTCGTGTCTCTATGATGCACACCCCCAACTGATGCTGAACGTAGATACAATGCACCCCATTCTCCTGCTCGGGCCATTATGGATCAGATAATAGGCCTGCTAAAGATGAGTTCTGATGCTTGGATCAGTCTGGGAAGCTTGCAGTACACCCCAGAATGTGCCATATAATTCTTGCATGCTGTGCCCTGCACAACTGGAATAGGCAAAGAGAGGATGTGATGGATGTTGAAGAGCTGGGAGATCAATAGCAGCTTTTCCAAGAAGGAAGATGAGGACATTGCTTATGAGGACTATCACCTTCAGCATGATGGAATGTTGCAGCATTGAGCACCACAAGCCTAACAGGACTTAATTGATTTAATTGATGTCCAGTTCCTATAGATCTGAATTGGGTGCAGTGATCATCTGTTGACTGTAAATTTATTTGTTTCTCAAGGAAAGCAGCCCTCGTTTGTTCCCAGAAGCATACACAACTCTTTTTGTTTGTTCTTTCTTTTATTTTCTATTGTTGTTATTTAATAAAAATAAACATTTTCAAATGTTTGAAGGCTTTCCAACATTGATTCTCCAACATTGAATAACGACAAGATATTATACTACGCTGGGCTTTAGGTAAAAAGTCAAAAACAAAAATAGAAATTGCTGAGAAAGCTCAGCACGTCTGGCAACCTCTGTGGAAAGAAATCAGAATTAATGTTTCAGGTCGAGTGTCCCTTTCTCAGAACTCCTGAGAATATCAGTTAGTTAGGCTACTGTGAAGGGCTAATTGTAGCTAGCAGCAATTGACATGGTGCACAGATGAGCTTTAAATACGTCAACAGCAGCAGATATCCTAGAATATTGGCTAGTGGCACAGCAGCATGCCTGCACACCTGCTCTGGTGGGCGCATGATAGTGCAAGTGTGACACTATGGAGCATGGTGAATAAATAATGAGGTGAGCAGTGAAAAAAATAGAGAGATAATTGGTTGAACTCATGGACAGAAATCTTCCATGAAACTTCCCAAAATTGACAATGGCCTATTTTTGGGTAAAATTCAACTCCATTTTTAAAAGAATTTGAGCTGTGACACCTTACAGATGCAAACTAGGCTCAAATCTTTTCAAGATGTGAATAAATAATGTTAGCCTGATCATTGACAGTTTAATAGATGACTATTTTTGGTGTGTAGTACCCATTCCTTAAATTCCAACATGTAGACTTGCATTTTAAATATTAATGAGAAACGAGAATACTTTCATTTATATTGCACTTTGCACAAGCACTGGTCATCTCAAAGTACTTTAGTCAATGAATCAATTAAAAATTGTCAGAATTAAGTGGTCATTCATCTCAGAACTGTTTGTATCTTGTGAAGTGTGTGGTGTACTTTCAACACAATAAGCTGTCTATATAAATTCAAATGTTCTTGTTTTATTAAATTAATATTTTTGTCATTAATATCTTCAAATAATTCTTAAACCACTTCTGTCATTTGCATATTTTTCTTTTAGAAGAACAGCCTGGTTTCCAAATCCGTAACATCCAGTGGGTTACAAATAAGGACTTCACAATTGCCATTGGGGCAAAACAAATAGAAGAATATATTTCTGTAAGTTTTCCACATAGTTGATGAGTAAACAACAGGGTTGTTCTATTCTGCAGTTTTTGGTTTTTTCCTTCATCTGACTTCCAATCTCCTTTATTGCTGTCCCTTTTACACAGGAAAACCTTCCACAGCAAATATACAATATGCAATTCTATACAACACAGGGATAGGCCTTTCAGCCCACCAAGCCTTTGCTGATTCCTAATCTTTATTTTAGACCCAGTGCTTATTGCCCACATGTGGTTTCTATCCTGCTGTTCGCCTCCTATTCATGTGTCTATCAAGATATGTCTTAAACGTTGCTAACATGCCTGCTTCCACCACCTCCACTGGCAGTGCGTTCCAGGCACCCACCACCCTCTGTGTGAAACATTTTCCCTGCACTTCTCCACTAAACTTTCCTCCTCTTACCGTGAACCTCTACCCTCTTGTAGTTGACCTTTCTACGCTGGGCAAAAGCCTCTGACTATCCACCCTATCTATGCTTCTCATAATTTTGTAGACCTCTATCAGGTCGCCCCTAAGCCTCGATCTTTTGAGTGTAAACAATCCAAATTTATCTAACCTCTCCTCATAACTAAAACCCGCCAGATTAGGCAACATCTTGGTAAAACCTTCTTTGCACCCTCTCCAAATAATCCAAGTCCTTCTGGTAGTGTGGTGACCAGAATTGCACACAATTTTCCAAATGTAGTCTAACTGCAACTGCAGTTGCAACTGCAAAGGCCCTCCGCTTCTTCCTGTCCCGCAGGCCCAACCAGTCTCCCTCCACTGACACCCTCATCTGCTTAGCCGAACTCGTCCTCGCCCTCAACAACTTCTCTTTCAATTCCTCCCACTTCCTACAGACAAAGGGGGTGGCCATGGGTACCCGCATGGGCCCAAGCTATGCCTGCCTCTTTGTAGGTTATGTGGAACAATCCCTCTTCCATACCTACACTGGCCCTAAACCCCACCTCTTCCTCTGTTACATTGATGACTGTATCGGCGCCGCCTTGTGCTCCCACGAGGAGCTCGAACAGTTCATCCACTTCACCAACACCTTCCACCCCAACCTTAAGTTCACCTGGACCATCTCTAATACCTCTCTCTCCTTCCTGGACTTCTCCGTCTCCATCTCGGGCAACCACCTAGAAACCAATATCATTTCAAGCCCACCGACTCCCACAGCTACCTAGAATACACCTCCTCCCACCCACCTTCCTGCAAAAATGCCATCCCCTATTCCCAATTCCTTCGCCTCCGCCGCATCTGCTCCCAGGATGAGGCATTCCACTCCCGTACATCTCAGATGTCCTTGTTTTTCAAGGACCGCAACTTCTCCCCCTCAGTGGTCGAGAGCGGCCTCCACCGTGTCTCCCGCATTTCCCGCAACTCATCCCTCAAACCCCGTCCCTGCAATAACAACCAAAAAAGAATCCCCCTCGTCCTCACGTACCAGCCCACCAACCTCCGGATCCAACGCATCATCCTCCGACACTTCCGCCATCTGCAATCCGACCCCACCACCAAAGACAT